GTGCTTTCGTGGATCTTAGGTCGTGAGGTGACGGCATGCGTGTGGGGACCCAACAAGAATCCAAAGGCTTGAAGCACCGATCCGATACCGAACATACTATATATTATCTTCATCGTACATGTCTACTGCTGGCGTTGTTGATTTTTGATACGGTTGACCGATCTTGTGGATCGCGTACAGCAGCAAACACAGCCTGTGGCTATGGCGCCCAGCAGATCATAGTGGATACTGAACACATGTCGACTGTGTGCTGTGAGACACGCGACTAGGCTTGAATCCAAACGTTTGCGGCGGGCAATACACAGCCCATTCGTGCATACATCCACCAACTTCGGCATAGTTGTGTAATGGGCGTGATGGATCTAGCATCACCGTGTGGTCAAGTGATTCCGTCACTTGGTACAGGCCGCAGTGTTTTTTGTCATGTGTGTGTTCGTTTTCAGGTAGGGGATCTGGGAAGCCTTCGGATAATCCCTGTCCAAGTGTAAGGAAGTGCTGGCAGTGCATCGCCCTGTCTCGGTGACAGGCGTCGTTGACATGTAAAAGGGTTTTCCTCTGGCCCACTTGCATTTGTCACGGCCCACGGTCTTTATGTTCGGTGCTTCCATGGATCATGTTTCATGCAGGTCTAGTCACCATTTATCCGTTATGTTACACGCTAGTGCTTTTTCTTTGTGCACTTTTTGGAGCACGTAAGCGTTACATCTGTGGACAGTACGTTTGGTAAGCATGGTCGCCCAAAGTGCAAGGTTGCCCAGGTATTCTCTTGTTCCCTGCACTACATAGCATGTGCTACATACCTTGCACCACATAGTACTCATCCACACAGCCTCCACCTTTTATATTGCACCACCTAGCTGGCGCCATTCGACCACCGCATCGCACACCACGCAGCGTTCTCCACGTAGCTTGCATCACATGGCTGTCACCACATAGTTTGCACCACATAGCTTGCACCATGTAGCTTGCACCTCCTGACTGCAAGAGCTTACTTTTTCGGGCCCAACGATGGCAACTCTTCTTGTCATCCTCTTACAGAGTCTGGGTCTGTGCAGGAGCTGTTCCTGGCCGTCGACGTCGACAGGAGTGGCTCCATCGAATACCAGGAGAGTTGGGCATCTCGGCAGCCGCGGGCGCTAGTGCTCCTCATCGTCCTTCTCATCCTCTGCGTGCAAGCTTGGATGCTGACATGGTGGCTCAAGTCGTTTGTGCTACGTTGCTCATGACATTCTTGGACGCTGGATATCTAGCGAGGATCCTCAGTATTTGTCTCACTCCTCGGAGATGCCATAACTATTTGCGGGAGGATGCGCCAATGAGGCGCATCGCTGTAGTAATAGTATTTCCGCGGAGCTTTTCAGCTACGGGGTGGAACTCGACACAGGGCACCTTTTTGCAACTGTCAGAGCTGCGCAACAAGAATAGGCTTCGGCAACACGCAACAAGCGAAGTCGAAGGTTGGGGGGTGAGATCGCAGAGGAACGGAGACCCCCAACCGGGAAATCGTTTCGTTTCGTTCGTGTCGTGCGTGCGGGCGAGGCGAAGCTGCGTGGGCGCGCGAGAGGAATGAACCCGCCGTTGCTAGGGCGAAGTCAAGACGAATGTTGTTCCCCCGTCCGTCCGTCCGTCCGTCCGTCCGTCCGTCCGTCCGTCCGTCCGTCCGTCCGTCCGTCCGGCGGTGGCCCTAGCGGTGTCCTGCGGTGTCCCGTGTTGACCCGTGGTGTCCCGTGGTACCCCGTTGAGTGAAATCGATAGTGAGATTGATAGTGAGATCGATACTGAGATCGATACTGAGATCGATACTGAGATCGATGTATTGGCTAGAGGTGTCCCGTGGTGTCCCGTGGTGTCCCAAAAAGTGAGATCGATAGTGAGATCGATAGTGAGATGGACAGTTGTCCCATGGTGTCCCGTGGTGTCCCGTTGAGTGAGATCGATAGCGAGATCGATACTGAGATCGATGTGGTGCCCGGGTGTCCCGTGGTGTCCCAAAAAGTGAAATTGATAGCGAGATCGATAGTGAGATCGACAGGTGTCCCGTGGTGTCCCGTGGTGTTCCGTTGAGTGAGATCGATAGTGAGATCGATAGTGAGATCGATGTGGTGTCCCGAGGTGTCCCGTGGTGTCCCGTGGTGTCCCGTGGTGTCCCGTTGAGTGAGATGGATAGTGAGATCGGTAGTGAGACCGATAGTGAGATCGAGAGGTGTCCGGCGATTTCCCGTGGTGTCCCGTGGTGCCCCGTGGTGTCCCGTTGAGTGAGATCGATAATGAGATCGATAGTGAAATCGACAAGTGTCCCATGGTGTCCCGTGGTGTCCCGTGGTGTCCCGTTGAGTGAGATCGATAGTGAGGTCGATTGAGTCAGATGTTGGTTCCCCTCTCTCTCTCTCCCCCCCCCACAACCTCCTCATCACCCGAAGGGAGGTCGTATAGGTATGAGCTCGACGTCATCCCGATCTACAATGCTGGGGCCTACGCGCGAGTCAGTGGCAACGTGAGGGGGGGAAGGGCTCAGGGGAGACGCATCGACCCCCAGTCGGTTAGACGGTGGCCCGAACGCACCCCTCCCAGAAACCCGCGGGCTCGACGTCAGGAGCCCATCGCTGCTGCGTCGGCGATGCGTCGTCGATTCTGGATCGATGGCCCCCCCCCCCCCCGCAGCCAATCCCCCCCCCTAACTTGGCCCACCAGTCTGACATTCCAGCCCTCCCCTCGCCGCTCCCTCCGTGGCCCCATCCCAGGCCGCCCCTGACGGCCCCAGGCGGCCAAAGGCGGCTGCCGCAGGGCTCGAGGTCGCCCGAGAGAGCCTCCCAAGAGGCGATTGAGCGCGAGCAGGACGCCGGAGGACGGCCAAAGATGGTGCCGTGGCAGGCTCAATTCCGATCTGGCCGATGCTGCTCGATACCGATTTGCCCGGCTCGGTGCGATTCGATTTCCATTCCCCTGCGATCCGATGCATTTGCACGGTGCTGTTGTGCATCCTGTCGTGGCCGATCCGATTCGATTTCGACTTCGTGCCGATGCGGCCCGATTCGATCCTGCCTGGTCCTGCCAAGGTGGCCCGCAGAGACATCCGTGCAACTCTCGGCTCCGGCACGTTTCGCCTGAGACAACTTCGCACTTTTGCTCTTCGGGGTCGCCCGAGAGGTGGTCCAGCGCGTCTCGCCTGAGACATCCTGGCAAGTCTTGGCTTCGAGATGCCGCGCGCGCGGGGTGGCCCCGTGCGTTTCGCTTGAGCCATCCTGCGATCCTGAGCTCCTAGATGCCTCGCGCGAGGTGGTCCGTCACGTTTCGCCTGAGGCATCCTCGCAGCGCTGGTCTTCGTGGGGTCGCGCGAGAGGTGGCCTGGCGCGTTTCGCCCGAGAAATCCTGGCAACGGTCAGGCGCGTCTCTCGCTCGAGACATCCTTGCAGTGCTGATCTCTGAGGTGCCGCACGGAGGTGGTCCAGCCCGTTTCGCCTGAAACGTCCACGCGAATCTGGACTTTTCGGGGGTGGATAGACCACCTGCCCTGACACGTCGATTCAGGAATTGGCCGTTTTCGGTTCGCGAGAGGGCGTCGCGGCCGTCGGTTTCGGTCCCAGGCCGTTTTCACTAAGGGGAGGTTTATTAAAGGGAGGTTTGGACCTTTAAGATGCCTCGCGCGGTCGTTTCGCCTGAAACATCCTCCCCTTTTTCGCTCCGAGCTGCCGCGCGCGGAGTGGTCTGGCGCGTTTCGCCTGAGACATGTTCACAACTCTGGGCTCCGAGATGTTGCGCGCGAGGTGGTCCAGCGCGTTTCACCTGAGACATCCTCGCAGCATGCCGCGCGCTAGGTGGTCCAGCGCGTTTCGCCTGAGAGATCCTTGCAGCTCCGGGCTCCGAGACGCTGCGCGCGAAATGGTCTGGCCCGTTTTGCCCGAGACATCCTTGCAACTCTGGGCTTCGAGATGCCACGCTCCTCCGCGCCCACCCCCCTGCACCGCTTCTCTGTTCTCCCCGTTGTTTGCCGCTACTTGTTTGCCGATCATCGTCGTCGGATCTAGCGGTAAACTGCGACGCAGTTCTTTTCCACCTAGTGACGCACCAGTTAAAGTGGCGATTGGCGAGGGTGGCCACAACGTTGGGTTCCGTTGCCGTTCGGGCCCATGCGCCGAGGTTCAGGGCCGATGGATCCGATCTGCGGTCTTCGCCACGCCAGGAGTTTGTGAAGTGCATGAACAAGCCAGAGTGTTTCCGCATCATGAACCAGCGCTTCGGGCTGCAGAGGCCCTCGCGCCCCCTCCAGGGAGAGGAGGGGCGGGGGAAGGTCCAGCTGCCTGCGGCGAGTCCCGCCGCCGTGCCGGCCAAGCACTGCAGGCGGTGACTGTTCGAGGGGGTGTTGGAGGCCGCCACGTGTGACACCTCGTGTCCCCAGGTTCGGGAGAGACGTGTTGAGGATGATGGGGATGATGACGGCGAGGACGAGGAGAAGGAGGATGAGGAATGGGATGATGATGTTGATGATGATGATGATGATGATGATGATGATGATGATGGTGGTGGTGGTAGTGGTGGTGGTCATGATGATGATGATGATGATGATGATGATGATGATGAGGGGGAGGAGGAGGAGGAGGAGGAGGAGCAGGAGGAGGAGCAAGAGGAGGAGGAGGAGGAGGAGGAGGAGGAGGAGGAGGAGGAGGAAGAGGAAGAGAAACGCCGTCACATGCGACACCTTTGGTCTTCACTTTTTAAGGAGCTCTCATGGACTTCTGGAGTTCATTTGGGCTGTATTGGCGCCGTCTTGGTCTCCTGCGGAGCAGTCGTGGGGCTCCATTCGGCTATTTTGGGGCCCTCTTGGTTGTATGGAGGGTGTCTAGAGGCCGTCGTGGGGCCGTCTTCGCCTCGTCAAAGGGCCTTCTAAGGCTGCTTAGGGTCTCTCTGGAGGGGCTCTTGGGCCGCCTCGGGGCCGTTTGGGGTCGTCATGGGCCATCATGGGGTCTTCCTGGGGCTGAATCGGGGCCCTCTCGGGGTCCTCGTGGGGGCCTCTTGGGCCGTCTGGGGGCTTCGTTGGGGGCTTTCCGGGCCGTCTTGAGCTGGCGAAGGCCCGGGGAACGTGCGAGCACGCGACAGCCCGTCAAGTCAAACATCCAATGGCATGCGGTGTGTTTGCCGCATCCCGAGCCAGCGGGTCGGGCTGCTGAGGCCTCCGGGCCCCCTCCAGGCAGAGGAGGTGAGGACACGCACGCACAGATTTTGGTGTCAACGAGCACATACGATTTATATATATAGGATAGATGTATAGATGTATGTGCATTCATCCATAGGTGTATATACACATTATGTGATAGTTACGTGTTCGTACTTGCATACGTACAGTTACATGAATGTGTTGTCATCGCTTATGAACCAAGCCGGTGGGCGAAGGCAAAGGTCACCACAGCCCCAATGAACAGGGCGCAGAGTCAATATCCCCAGCTTGCGATCTATCCTCGCAACCCCCCTCTCTCCATCTCTCTCTCTCTCTCTTTCCCTGTCTCCTTTTTTTTTTTTCTCTCTCTCTCTCTCTCTAGTAGGATCCCTCCCCCTGTCCATCACACACATACACACACACACACTCTTTCTCTCTCTCTCTCTCTCTATATATATATAGATACAAGACTGCATTGGCGCTTCGCGCCATGCACCTTGGTCCTTCAACCCTTGCGCGCGTTGGCGTCTAGCGCGGCCCTCCACGGTCTTTGAACCGCGGCCGGTTCGCGCCTAGTTCCCGGACCTGCACCTTACTTGCTCGCGCCCTCGCTCTGCTGGTCCGCGCGCCACTGGGACTCCATGAGAATGTCCCAGCGGACCGATCAGCGGCGATGAGAGCGGCCGTGGAGGCTCCGGAAAGACAAAACGTCGGACAGAAGGGGCGGGAAAGAAGTGGAGGACGATTTAGGGAGGCGCGGCGAAGGGAGGAATATCATGAGGTAAGGTAAGGTAAGGCACGCATTGGGGCGGCGTGCTGTCTCGACTTGCGCATGGGGGTGAGACAAACGGAGATGCCCTGCGATCACATATGGAAACAGACCAGGGGGCTGCGGCTCCAAGGACTGCCAGATCATGAGGAGGAAGAGGAGGAGGCAGAGGGATAATGAAGGTGCCGTCGGGGAGCGGCAAAGCAATTTGTCAGCGTCGCACCGAGAGGCGCCGCTCCAGAAACCGCCCAACCCCGCGGGCGGCCTCTGCCCGAAAGCCGAGAGCGGGGGGCCAGAGGCAGGGGCGGCAGCCGCAGCCCAGGGCCTACGGATGCATGTGTGCGAACACGTGTGGAAAACAATGTTTCCTGAATGACTTGGAAGGGCCCTCGTGAAACCTCCATGGAACGATTATTCTGGGATGCGATAGGGCATTGGGCAGCAAGCATGCAGGCAACGTACCGGATTCTGGAAATGCTAAGGACATCTACCGAATTCCGGGGAAATGTGCCGAATCTCGGGTTCGCAACCGATCTCCCGGGAATTTGGTTGCGAACCCGGGATTTCAAGCATTTTGGTGTTTTGCGTGGGATGCCACTGTCTGGCAAACAACGGAGCAGCGCAGCGAAGCCGTTCCGGAGGTGGCGGTCAAGTGGGGCGATTGCAGCAGTTTTGAAGCCTCTTGGGGGGCCGTTTTGGCTGCCTTTTGGAGAGCCATTTTGGGGCCTCGTGGGTTCTTTTTGGGAGTCCTCGGGGCCTTTGGAAGCCTCTTGGGGCCTCTTGGGGCCCTCCTGGGGCCTCCTGGGGCCCACTTGGGGCGGAAAGTTAGATGTTTATACTTTTGAACGCCCTGTGGGGGCTCGTTTGAAGCTTTCTCGGGGCCCTCTTGGGCCTTCTTGGGCGCCTCTTGGGCTGTTTCGGGGCGCTCCAGAGCCGTCTTGGGGCCGTGTTGGGGCCGTTTTGGGGGCCCCCCGGGCCATCTTGGGGCGCTCTTGAGGGCCTCTAGTTCTGTCTTGGAGCGTCGGAAAGCTAAAATGGCGAGAAAGCAGAAAACATCGAAAAACACATTGGAAAATTGACCATTTCGGCCTCCCGGGGCCGTCTTGGGAGGCTTCTTTGGGGCCGCTTGGGGCGTCTTGGGGGCTCCTGAGGCTGTCTTGGGGCTATCTTTGGCGTCTTGGAGCGCTTTGTGCCTGTCTTGGAGCGCTCTTGAGGCACTCGGGACCGCTTCAATGGGCGTCCGGAGGGCCCCAAAGCCCCAGGATCCCAGGAGTCCGGTTTGGGGGGGGGGGGGCGGGGTTTTGCGGCCGCCCGGGCTTGTAAAAATATAGAAAGAGGAATATGTATGTCCCCATCTTTCGTACCCCCCTCCTCTCCGTCCCGCTCTCTCTCTCTCTCGTTTCGTTGCGTTTCGTCTGCGCCCAGACGGGGGCGCGCCCCCGCGCACGCCCGCGCGCGCGAGCCGCCCCTGAGAGGCTGGCGGCGCACGCGCCCTGGAGGCCTCAGGCCACGGCCCGCGCTGCCACGGCCACCATCTCCGGTGCCCATCACGCTCGCGACCGTCGATCCCCGCACTGCAGGCGAATCCTGAGTGGGCCCTGGAAACGACAGGGCCGTTTTTGTTACCGGTTCCGTTTCGCCGTTTTCTTGCCGGCTTCGACGCCGTTTTTTTTTTTAACCGGTTCCGTTTTGCCGTTCTTTGACCGGTTCCGGCTCCGGCTCCAATCCTGGAGCTGTTTTTGTTGCTGTTTCCGGTCGCCGTTTTTTTGCCGTTTCCATTTTCAAGGGGCATTTGTTGGGAAACGGTGAAAAAACGGCCCTGCCGGTGCCGGGACCCACACAGCAGGCTATAACCCTTGCCTCCCACATGGCCAGGAGCAGCGCTGAAGACCGCTGCCACCGCTCGCCCGTCCCTCACGCCCCCGGTTGGCTCCAGCTTCGCCTCCCGCATCTCGCTGAACAGCGCCGGAGCCAGTTGCCGCTGCTCGCCCTTCCCGCGCGCGTAAATCCCAGCGCTACAGCTGAAGACGTCGGACTCCCTCTTTGCCTCCCGCATCTCCCTGAGCATCCCTCACGCCCACCGCCACTGCTCGCCCTTCACGCACGCGCTGATCCCAGCGCTGCAGCTGAGGACGTCGGGCTCAACCGTTGCCTCCCGCATCTCGCCGATCAGCGTCAGATCCCGCTGCCACCTGTTGCCCCTGCACGCTCGTTCTCTTCCCCCCCCCCCACTGCGGCCAATAGCTGCTGGCTGCTACGGTGAGAACAGAATATGTCCGATCCGACAGGTATGTCGGCGTCACGAAGCGCTGGCGATCAAGGCAGCCCAATTTGGCCAAGCCAAATTTGCAGCCTAACGCGTCGTTCAAGCACGTTCGACACCAGGCACATGTACGCGAATCCACATACATTCTGATTCCTTTACTGCATACACAGAGGTTAGAGTCAGGGGGCTGAACCGAACGGTCATTCACTGTCCATGGGTGCGTGGCTGAAGTGGAATTCCGCGATGCGGATTCTCGTTGTTGTTGGTTGTTTGTTGTTTGTTGTTTGTTGTTTGTTGTTTGTTGTTTGTTGTTTGTTGTTTGTTGTTTGTTGTTTGTTGTTGTAGTCGTCCCACCTGCGACCCGCCCCGCGACCCACCCACGACCCACCCCGCGACCCACCCGCGACCCACCCGCGACCCACCCCGAGACCCACCCGCGACCCACCCCGCGACGCACCCGCGACCCACCCGCGACCCACCCGCGACCCACCCCGCGACCCACCCGCGACCCACCCCGAGACCCACCCGCGACCCACCCGCGACCCACCCGCGACACACCCGCGACCCACCCGCGACCCACCCGCGACCCACCCCGCGACCCACCCAAAATTTTCGGCGCCTGCGGCAGGTTTCTTTTGCATTCGTTCCAGGTGGAGTACCTGCGACCCACCCCGCGACCCAAACCGCGCCCGCGACCCACCCCGCGACCCAACCAAAATTTTCGGCGCGTGCGGCGGGTTTCTTTTGCATTCGTCCCAGGTGGAGTGCCTGCGACCCACCCGCGATACAATCCGCGTTCAGTGTACAAATCAAAATTTTCGGTGCCTGCGGCGGGCTGTGTTTTTAGAATTTCTTCCAGGTGGAGGCGGAGAGCCCGCGACCCACCCGCGACCCAACATACGTTTACTGAACAAGCCAAAAATTTGGCGCTTGTGGCGGTCCGCCGGCTCGACGCCCGCGTCGTCCGCGCGCGCCCCCTCGTTCTTATCCGCAATTGCGGGGTGCTACGTACACAAAAAGGTCAGAGTGAGGGGGTTAAACCGAGCGGTCATTCATTGTCC